CCCAATATCTCCTATGCCACAGGCTGTCACATAAACTCAAAACATAACAGAGCCATCCCTATGCTTAACAACTGGCAAGAATTTTTTTCTTCAAATGCATCACCTTTTCTCCCAAATATATCTTGTACAGTTGAGGCTGAACAATTCCATTTTTGTCCTATCTGTCCAAAGGATTTTTTCCACAAAATGTTTCAAGTGTATTGAAGTTTTTCTTTGCATACTTTAGACCAGTGGTTCTCAACCTGTGGGTCGGGACCCCATTTGGGGTCGAACAACCATTTCACGGGGGTCGCCAAACAAGGCTGTCCGCCATTTTTCCCCCTTTTGTTTGGCCATGCCCCTGGCACCCGGTGATGTATAAGTGGTTGGGGGTCACCACAACATGGGGAACTGTGTTATGGGGCCGCGGCATTAGAAAGGTTCAGAACCACTGCTTTAGATAGTCACATTTCTAATGAAATCAGAGAAAAGATTTCCTTCCTTCTCCCAAGCAGAATTGTACAAACAATATTTGTACAATTGTGGACAGCATACTCCAACATCAGCTAAACTTTTCAGAAGGTCATTTGCATTGCTCTATATAGATTCTGCTTTGCAGATTTGACCAGTTTTCATGTAATTTTGGCAAAGATTTTATAACAATCTTCAAGCAAATATGTCTGTTAGTGAAGATGTTGAAAATGAAAAAAGATTGGGTATTTCAGCAAGGCAGCAATCCAAAACATATCTTCAAATTAACCATGGAGTTTTTACAGGAAATAAAAATAATTGTTTGGAAATAGCTTTCATAGTTCCCAGACTTGAACACGGTTAATGAACTCTGCATGCAAGAAGACCTCAGAATATTTTTGAGCAAGCAGAGTAAGGAAGACTGGGAAAAATCCAGTAACAAGATTAGAAAAGATACAGGAAAAAAATTGAAGGTGTCACAAACAGAAACTAAGTTACTGTTACAAAGTTCTGCATAGCTATTTTGTTTTCTTATTTGAATGCAAATATAGCTATATATAAATAGAAAGCATGCAGTTAAATATGCTAAAGGATATCAAGTTATTTTTGCGCCATGTATAACTGTGTCAGCTGGAATCGAACAAAGATTAGGGAACAATGTTTTGTATGTTGAATTGATAATGCTGAACTTTTAGCATCCTTCAATGTTAGCCATGCTGACTGGCTACTAGGAATAGTAATTCATCAATATTTGCAGGACTACAGGTTCTTCACCCTTGATTTATGCTGCTGAAAACTGGGCTGAAAAATTTCATCCCTACTCCAATAGTCTCACTTCTTTCTTCTAGGCAAGAAAGAAATTGAAAATACAAATCCCAGATTAAAATAGGATACCCGCTCCTAAATCAAACAGTATTAGGCAAAGTGGATGTATTGTCTTGCTCATGATCTTACATTTCTTTCCGTTTCCCTCTTTGGGTTGGCAGTTCTGCCTAATTGTATGCCATGCCAATTCTGTGTAATATTATTCATCCTATTGGGCCAAGCACCTTGAAACTTTTTTTTAAAATCACTCTGCAGCACTCTGAATTGATCAGATGTGGTCTTCATTTTTAGTCTGATGCAGACATGAAGAGTAGAAGCTGGCTATTTTAGTGCTGTGAATGTAGAAATATGAGATCTTAAAGAAGTGAACCCCAATTTTCCATTTCACATAATTACTGGTTTTTTTCCTTGTACATAAACATATTTCCCTTTCGTCTCCCAGTTGCTTCTGATTTTTGTTCTTTTTTCTTGTCCTTTATAAGGAGTTCAGCCAGGCAGATGGTTGCAGCGTGGGCAGCTGTGCTAGCTCCCTTTCACTGTTAACAGCTAAGCATGGTAGATTTGACTTAGGTGTTTGTTCTAAGCGGCTGCTTTTCTGGATAAGCTGGAGCAAAGGTTATTGGAGGCTCTAGCTTTAGAGGCTCATTAAATTTAAATTAGAGGACTTCTCCCCCCTTTCTTTCTCAGCGAAACAAGGGAATCTATTTATTAGCAAATGAGCAGGAAGCATCTTCTGTAAATGGGAATAAACACAGCCTTTGTTCCTGATGTGATTAGAACGCTGGAGAGACCATCAAGCTCTGACATTTTCAATTTTGGAAACCAGATTCTGTGTCTCAGCCTCCCCCTGAATTTTTTGGGAAAGATGGCTTATTAATTTTTCTAAAGACCTATCAACCCCCACCCTTAATGTAATATAATTCCAACTTTTAGAAAAAGTGTGGAGATGTTTTCTTTTCATTTTATTTAACAGTGCTATGGATCATGAAATATTTTTTGGATTTTCTCTGCTCTATGCTTGTTTCATAGCTGGGTAGGGCTTTTACTGTTCCGACTTTCCAGTTGGGAGTGGGGCATTAAGGCAGAGGACAAAACATTTCCCACACTAAAACACAATTGGGATTCACATCATTAGGATTTTCAAAATTTAGGAAGTTATTAATGTTGCAGCATGTTGTGTGGATAGACTGTATGGGAGAACCCAGGGTTATTTTCTCTTGTTTAGGAGGAACTGAACTGAAGCTCATTTTTTATTTGTAATTGTTTTCATGTATTATTGTACTTCACACAAAGATGATGATTATGAGTTGAATAAATATTTGTTTATCTCAAAGGCAACTATATCTCAGTCAAAGAGATAAATAGTACTGAACAATTTGTGCTTACCTTTAGGTGCAGGTTTATATAAACATTATGTCCCTGTACATAATATTCTATTTACTAATTCTATTCAAACTGAGAAATGTTACTGTCTTGAAAGATAATAAATCACTTTTAGATCATGTATATATTTGATGTGTGTGGATGCTAAAATGATACAGCTTTGGGTCTTCCATAAGTTTCAACAGATGATTGGTGGTTTTTGTCCCACTGAAACACCAAATGGTTTGTAAGGACTTGTTGCAATATGTTGCAATCATTATAGCTAGCCCTTCTTGTTGATCTTCAAAGTTCATATTCTGACTAAGATAGTTTCTTCTCACAAGATAGAAGCTGATTCTGTGAAATTATAAAGACTGAGATAAAGCCTCTTCCTTCCAGGAATATTAATTCAAAGCATGGACATTAAATTGCCATTGCAGCATCTTTATTAAGCAGTACTACCGGCTGCTTTTGTGTTAAATGTGTTGCATATCAAATTTTATTTCGAGAATGAACTGATTCTCTTCTGATTTCTTTTTTTTAATTTGTGCTACTCATGTACTCTGATTTGTACCAGGTGCTTTGCTCCAATCTGTTCAGAGTGTAGTTGTATCTTTTGGAACACCACAAACCATATCCAGTGGTGTAACACATGTATATCTTAAAGTGTTACTTGTATATTTCAGATATAGCAATTTTGCACAATTTTGCCACTGAGCAGCTCCACAGATGCTATAGCATCTGTGCATCCTTCTGCTGTTCAGTGGAATTGGACTGGGACAATAACCTAATAAATCATCTCCAACTACCATTTATTCTGTGTTTTTTTCCCTGCCCCACCAATCCTATCCTGATACTAAAATGTTACTAGGTGTAATCCTTCTGAAGAAGGAGGGACTTCTTGAAAAATAACCTACTTCAAATGCAGAGCTGAGTCCTGGTTTAAAAGAAAATTAAATTAAATTATCTGGACATTGCAAACCTCTGTGGAAGGCTGGGTGATTTGATGTAACTATGAGTACTGTTTTCTTACATTCTCCAGCAGCATATTATATCATTAATACTAAGAGCTTAAATCTGGGCCGGAATAAAAATTCAGATTTATTTTGCGTTGAAATGGAGAAAAATATAAGGAGTCTTAGAAAGTCACCTTTTTGGACTCTGGCAGTTACTCAAGAATCTAAGACTGATGCCAAATGCTCTGATGCTGCTCAACATGGATCATGGAATTTAAAGTCCCATCTGAAGAAAGAACAATGAATCCAAATGGGTATTTTTAAAAAAGAAATGGGACTGACATATCTTTTATGGGGAGAAGGCAAGTTGTAAACAATTTACCTTAAATTTAGAGAAACACTGGCAAAAACATTATTTGATATAGATGTTCATCCTTCATCAAACACATCTGACTTCTTTTTTTAATTGACATACGAACTGAACTCCTCCTAGAATGTTCTCTTTTGATGTTAGCAATCCTTAATGGCTGTGCTTCTTTGGCAAAGGCAGCATCTAAATCAGAATTTTTCAAATTATGTTCTGTGAATCCCTAGAGCTCAGTGGAGAAGAGATGTGGTGTAGTGGTTAAGGCACCAGGCTAGACCTTTGAAGACCTTAGGCATGAAAACCACTGGGTGACCCTGAGCTACTCATTCTCTCTCAGTCTTAGGAAGGAGGAGGAGGCAAGGACAAACTGCTTCTGAAACCTTGCCATAAAATTCCAAGGACATGTACTAGCAGTCATCAGAAGTTAACACTGATTCCAAGATTTGCATACACACATACATAAAGGTTTGTGTATGTGTGTGTGTGGAGGGGTAGGGCATAAGAATTTTAGGGGGTGGGTTCCTTGAGAGAATAAGGGAAAATATAATTCAAACATAGTTTCTATTCTATTCTATTCTATTCTATTCTATTCTATTCTATTCTATTCTATTCTATTCTATTCTATTCTATTCTATCCTATCCTACTCTACTCTACTCTACTCTACCCTACCCTACCCTACCCCACCCCACCCCACTCCACTCCATTCCATTCCATTCCGTTAAAAATATTTTCTTATTGATGAAGGGTTCTATTCTATGTTTTTTAATTAATAGGTCAATGCAGCCTGAAAAAGTTTGATCTAAGTTTGATCTAAGCCATGGAGTTTGTGAACACCATTTTTGAATATGAACCAAATCAAAGTTGTTGAAGAGCAAAATTTAGACAAAAAGAATCCCATAGAAAGGAGTAATCCATTTCCCCAAAAATTCTGCATTTTAGAACTCATTCTTACTGCATTTTTATGATCCATCTTTTCATAAATTTATTAGCCTAGAAAAAAGAGGTTTCTGTTAACTTTCACAACAAAACCAAAAGTCACTTTTCATACTGCCCCTCTGCGATGCAGAAGGAAGCTTTATTCTCCATTTCAATGACAGTATTAAAAATAAATACATGATACAGTCAATGTAGCCATTCTTTAATCAGAGAGAAAGAGGAAATTATGGAGCAAATTGTAGACAAAATAGTGATCTGGCACAAAGAAGCAGAAGAACCCTTGGAGAAAGATGGATGTTAGGTAGACTGATGGGAGCAGCACTAAAACTTGGAAAAAGCAGCAAACCTTTTTCCAAACATTTTAAATAACAATTTCTCACAGCCTCATGTCTCCTAAAGATATGGGACCATAACTTCACAGCATTAGCCATACTAGCTGGGGATTGTGGAAACTGTAGTTCAACATTTCTAATGGGCATCACTTTGGGGAAGGCTGTTCGATAGCACCAAAGATTCTATAAATTATGATCCCACCTCTTATGATAATAACCTCTGAGGTAGGTCATCAACGCATAGGCAGCCCATTTAGAATTAATTGTCTGGGGTAATCCAATGAGTCTAGGTTTAATGTTAAAACAAAGCCTGAAATCTGAAACCAGAAAAGTTAAATTAGGAACTCCTAGGGAATATTTCTACAAGTGAATTTGCTATATTAGGTATGAAACTACCTATGTACAACCATAACTTGATTGTGTACTACATTTGTGCGGTGTTTGTCAGCAGTCAGCAACCTTTTCAAGTCCCACGTGACATCGCATGGGGGCTAAGTTGCCCTCCCCCCACAAATCATTTGTAATCTCCTGAGATCAAATCTCCTGAGATGGTGACAGCCCTACTCTGCATTTTTACTAGAATCAGAAACACACGATTGTAATGTTTTCAGTGAGACATTGTGAAACCTTGAGCACGCTCCCTGAAATTTTATAAGATGTGAAGATGATGAAGTTAAATTTTGAAAAATTTTATTAGAGGGCATGTGAGGCTCATCTTCAGATGTAGAGACAATATGGTTCACTTGGACCAGCCATTCCAACAGCCATTAGAGGTTTTGTGTCTGCTTAGGGCATGTGCAGAACATCTTTTCTGTCTGTTGGAACTGCCAGGAGAGGCCTCAGAGCTGAAATAAAATGAAGTAAAGTGGCTGCTTTGTTGATGTTTATAAGCAAGGGGGTCCACACTGCTTTATGAAATAGTTTCATAGCAATGCTTTAGACAAACCTTTGTTGAAGCAAAGAGCTCTTTAGAAGCTTAACACGGACTTATTTCCCCCCCCCTAACGTTAATTTTATTTTAATTGAGCAGGCTGCAGATGCTTTTTCTGAGGACCAAGAGATGCCCAGGTGCATGGAAGCTCTTTATGACTGCTACTTGCTGTGTTCATTGCCCCCACAGTCCCCCCATGTGCTTCTGTGCCAGTGAGCATCAGAAAGCATTTGGTACAGATGCAAAATTTGGCATCTTTTCTTGATGTGAAGGTATATCTGTTTGTAATAAAAAAATACTGAATTTCTCTTTGGGAAGAAACATAAATTTGGGAACTGAGAAACAGTAACATTTCTTACCAACTGAATTTGAATAGCGCCAAATTCTACCTTCATGCAATGTGTGCAATGCTATATAGTGATGATCAGCAACTGAATAATTAAAAAAGGTTGTTTGGACAGGGTATTAGAACAAAGTGGACTGTGATTTCCCCCCTATCATTTCCTTTGTTATTTCTCTTTTCTCAGAATATTAAAACTGCAGCTAGAAAATACGTAGCCATCCAAGACTGAAAGCTCTGTAAGAGGTTTGCTAAATCTCTTTTATAGACATGTAGATGTGTGTTCAGGGTAAAAAGATAGGGTACAAGGCTCCCAAGCATGCAAATTTGTGCCTATTTCCTGCTAAAAAGAGACTCTCCAAAGACCATTAAGCCAGAATCTACAACATATGAATGGTTGACCAGTGAGGTGGAAATGGTTGTCAATGCATATGTTACACATAGTATGTCTTTCTCCATCCCCTTTTCACATCTTTATTTCTATTCAAAATATATGAGAAATTTTCTCTATGTGTCCCCTATATCTTTCAACATTCTAAAACATTTACAGCTGGAACCAAATCATCCTTTAAGGTAGCCTTTAGACTAGGATTCTTCAACTTGGTGCCATGCAGATGAGGATAACTCTTGTAGTCAAACACATTATGACAATATCGGATTGGGGAAAGACATTTCTAAAGTGCCATCTGTCATATTTTCTCATAATCTTGGAATAGTAAATAATGTCTTTCTGCAGTGTTTAAATCTATGCAGGGGTATATTCTCAACACCATCTTCCTAATTCCTTGAATTGAAGATCTACCTGTCTCTTCCAATATGACATTTTCTGCCTTAGAGAAGTGGTGTCAATTCTGCAAGGCTGAAGCCAAGGACTAATTTCACAATTCCTAGCAAGCAAGCTATCTCTCCCCTGAAACAGCTTCACCCAGATTTGAATCAATCTTCCCTTGTCCAGTAACATGAGGATGTGCCTTGCTCTTCTACTTCCTTGAGTAAACAGCATTTCTCCCTCCTTGTCTCAAACATTAGGAGAGACATTACAAGAATATAATTGAAAAGGTATGGGTTTTTTCTCCCTAAAGTAGCAATTTCCAATGCTGGCAAAATCTAATAATCAAGAAGCAGATACAAGCTTCCAACATTCCAGGGAGCTCCTCAAGACCAAGTAGATGAAGATGAGTGAAAAAGTTTCTCTACCTTCAGGTCATATCTACTGGTCCTGAAGTTCTTGCTATGACTCAGCTCCAATCCAATTCTTCCCAGTTTGTTTCTGCAGATTCTGGCCAAATCTGTTTTATTTTTATTTAAAAAAAAATCATTGATTAAGATTAATTTAAATCAAAGGAACAACACTATGATTCCATTTGGGTAACTTTTATTTTCTCTGGCACTACCAGTCCCAAACCCTCAGTGTTTTGATAGAGACATCATCGCAGCACATAAACTATATTTGTGCTCTACTTAAGAAAAACTCACCCATAAGAATGCAGTTAGGATCTGGCTATATATTGGTTCCAGTTAGTGATTGGGAGAGAGGCTTAGGGCAATAGTATTAAAAAGGATTAGAGCTAAAGGATCAGGTTTTATACCACTATGTCAAGTAATCGATCATGTATAACATGTCCCTGCAGTGCCCTTTGGAATTCTGTATGTTCTAGTGTTTCTATTCAATTTTCTAGTTTCAGACTTAGAAATTTTCAGGAACCATGGGTAGAGAGGGGAAACTGGGGAAGCAGAAAAATTTTCACTATTTTTAAGAATGGCCAAAAGGGAAATAGACATATCAATCCCAAGGGATGAAAAACATTCCTTAAACTGTAGTGCACCATTTGGGACCTCAGATACAGATACCTAAATGCAGCCTTCTAAATCTTTTTTTATTCAACTCCTCTTACTGGCTATTAATTTTTAGTGAGTTAAAATTAAACTTAGTAATATTAAAACTGGATAAAATGTGAGGGATGGATGAGATGGTGAAGTGCTCAGGCAAGGAAGTGGATGGGGTAAAATAAATAGTTTATTTCTACCAAGGTGCCATTGGATCCCTCCCATCTGGAACCCTGATATCCTCCCCATGTGACCCATGGGGGTCCCTGTTATGGGGAAAAATGTTAAACAGAACCCAATCAACAATGTGGCACAGTCATCTAATTTCTATGAACGATCCCAAAACTCTCTGACCAGTTTAGATTTCTCTTAGCATCAGTCACATGGATACTGAGAAAGAAGCAAAGGGGAACTAGAAAAAGCAATAACAAAAAGAGTAAAAGATACGTCAAAAGGCAAAATGTGGCCTCTTCCACTTTTGACTCTGACCATGACCATTGTTTGCTTGAGTCTTATGCATTTTTAATGCATGACCTCCTACAGATTACTTCCCCCACATGTGGCTGTTGACAGATACAACCTCAACAGTAGTACCCCTGATGGATTACATCACTTGTTAAATAACAATGATGAAATGAAAGCGCAGTGTGGGCTTTCCACCATAAGCACTGAAATATTTTGGCTAAATGTATACATGAAAGGGTAAAGTGTTTCAAGGATGATATGTCCATTCATGTCCTCTCAATCTCTTTTCCAAACTCAATGTCTCTTAGTAGAAGCCGGGTGTATGCCTGGCATTGGTGAGGCATGTTTCAATCTTTTCATAGTCTACTTTCCTTCCCCAGTTCTCAATTAAGTGACATTTGAGACATGAGTTGCTTTACATTCAAAAGAGGTATGTCATCACCCAGAGGGGTAATAAGGAACATTGTTGTGGTAGTTGTAGTCAGGACACACTTTTTGCACAAGTCTGTAATCTATGCTGTAGAAGGTTATATAGATACAGATAACTTTGAATGGCTTGGAGCAAACCCAAGAGACCTGACTCTGTGTGTGGTTCAGGAAGCAGGTTTTAGAAGGGTCATAAGTGCACAGGGTAGTCTTCTTCGATTTGCTCACCTTCTCAGACTCCACCCGGCAGTTGAAGATCTTTGATTCTTTTGCCTCTATGAAGATTTGCTGCTCAAGATCAAACTCAACTGCTTTGTTTGGTGGTACCAAGCTGACTGAGATGTTCCCTTGGCCAGTGGAGTTATGACGAAAGAACACATTGACTGTGCCATTCCCATGATCAACCACTTTCCCTGTAATTAGGAGGTTGAGTTTTACTGTCTTGATGTTGGAGTAGAAATCACCCCACCCAAATATTTTTTTGAACTGACTAGGATTGGTGAGGGAATCTCTTCTTCCACGAGGTTGTTTGCTTTGTCCCTGCTTGGACAAACTATCTAGGATATTCCAAAATTCTGGTGCATTACTGGAGACCAATTCTAAGAGAGTTGTGTTCTGGAAGTAAGATGGGGTTACAGAGGACTTTAGGGAGACTTGGGCTTTTTTCTTTTGCACTCGGGATCTTTGTTGAGTTTTGGAGGATTTTCCATTTTCTTCTTCTTCCTCTTCTGTTGCCTCATCTTGGCCACAGATTACCTATATGGAACAAGAGGACAGCAGGACCTCATTATCTGTTTTTCCTTTAGGGAGGCAGCTGGACTCCATGGTTTTAATTGCACCTTCCAATTTCATGACTAATAGTTAGAACCATGGCAAAACACTTTCCCAACACGTTGTCCTTCAGATCAGTTGCATCTTCAGCTCCTAGAAAACTTAGTCAACATGATTATTGACTGGGAATACAGACGGTTAGATAGAATTTTATTTGTATCACAGATTGTAATTTATATATAATTTGGCCCCTATATGGGGAGAACATGTGCAGGATAACTATGAAAATTCTGACTATTATCTAAAACTTGATATTCACAAAATAATGTGGTTAAATTATTTTGGTCTTTCATATGTATGATTTTATCAGTTAAGATTTAGTATTACAAGTAAATCAAAGCATTGTGATTATTGAACTCTCTCTCTCTCTCTGTGTGTGTGTGTGTGTGTGTGTGAGTAAGTGTTTTAAATAGTAGTGTAATGTGATATATGAGTAGCCTATAAGTAGTTTTTATAAAGTAGTTTATATATTTATAAACCTTTTAATTTCAGGAAAAAATTGGCTTTTACAACAAGCTAAAAGCCCAGTGCCCTGGAAAAAAAAGAAAGACCTGCTTCGATGTGGGCAATGATCTTTTAAACTTTCATTTGTGCTAAATTTGATTTTTTATTACATAATACCATGAATAGATTTAGTGCTTGACAGAAAGGTCTCTACCCCAAATATGGTTCCCAAATGGAGAGACGTCCAAAATTAGACATAAACTAATAGATGAGTTGTATGACTTTGGATTTTATTATGCCTGGATATGAAGGAAAAAAAAGGCAAACAATGAATGGGAAAAAATTCCAAAACTCATTTTAAAAGAGTAGGAGAAAAGAGAAGGCAAGACATATTTTAAACATGCACTAAGCTATAGTTTATCACAATGAAACTGAACCCAGTTAATCTTCAGTTTTGTACGTTCCCCCCCCCCGAAAATACATTTCCATGATTAAGATGTTAAACTGAATTTGGAAATTATGGAATTGTTGTATTAGGACCCCCCCCCCAAAAAAACCCTACTTTTCTCTTCCATGACCTTTCCATTAATTCAGGGAAACATTTTAGCGCATATAAACCCCAAAACTGGTTTTAGATCCTTCCCATACTTTACAGGGAAGTGGAACATTAGATTCCATAGATCCAAATTCATCCCTCTTCATGGCACCCAGACATGGAAACTCACAGTAGTATTTCGAGAAAAACTGAAGTAAGAGTACAATGTATACAACCGTCAGCTTCTGGAGGATTTAAATCTAATAAATAAACAACCAAGCATTAAAGAAATAAATAGCATATTGTAATATTGCTATCCAAAAATGATTGTTTGAGCTGAGCAGCCCTAGAAGCCCATTAATTAATTAATTAATTAATTAAAAATTGTTTGAAGGAAAATAACTTCATGAGCTATTGTGAGAAATTTTGCTTTTATAAGCAAACAAAAGTGAAGATCAACCATGGTTTGGCAGGATCACAAAACCAATTAATGAAAACAGAATCAAAAGCCGCAGGATTTTTTTCTTACAGAAAATGTGAAGAAGGGAGAAAAGAGATATGAACCAAGGAGAAAAGCAGGGTTATTTTTGAACCATAAACAATAGTTCCTCAGGATGCCTGAATTCTAGATGACGTCACACCTAGAATAAAATTTCACGCATAAGTAACAGTAAAGTGAAAACAAAAAAGCAGAGCAATAAGCAGCACAATCCCATGTACACTTTTGAAGAGTTCCAGTGTTGGAAATTATGGAATTGTTGAATTAAGATCAAAAAAGAAATAAAAACACTTTTCCCTCTCTTTACCCCACTGTGATTTTGTAAGGAAGTGAAACATTAGATCCTACAGTTCCAAATTCATCCCCCTGGATTTTTTTAATCCATTTTTTAACCCATTCTGAATTCAGAATTCTGATGCAAAAACTTCTAAATCTTTGGAAGATTTCTAGCATTTCATTTCCTCTTTTCCCCTTTTTCTCTGATTTCAGGAGGAAATGAGAAAAATTCATATGAACCTTAGAGCCACTGGAGGAAGGCATCAAGTAAAATTAAAATAGTGTATAAAAAAGGAAACCCAATTCCAAATTTTCATAGGAATAAGCATGGTCCTCCTTCCTTCCTTCCTTCCTTCCTTCCTTCCTTCCTTCCTTCCTTCCTTCCTTCCTTCCTTCCTTCCTTCCTTCCTTCCTTCCTTTGCTTTTTAGGAAGGAGAACCTCTTTTTTCCCATAACCTTCCCAAGGGTTCTCAGCCTTGGTAATTTTAAGATGTAGGACCAACTCCCAAAATTCCCAGTCAAAATACTGGCTGGGAATTCCAGTATTTAAAGTGGCCAAAATTGAGAAGCCCTGCTCTGGAAGGACAGTTCATCCCTGAATGTTTGCCTTAAACATGATTTTTTAACTGGTGGACTGACTCAGTGAATGGTTGAAAGCTATGAGCAAAGAAAATAATAGATAGGTGTCAGGATATTATCAACTTCAAATGGAAGAGAAATATTTAAATGAATGATACACACCGATAGTTGTAAAATATTGATTCTTTCGTCTTGTCCAATTTTAGCATGACCCATGGATTATTCAATATAATTTGATTGGCTAGGTACCCAAGGGTCTTAGGAACTGGACTGTCTTAAAAAAAATAAACATAAAACTGTTGACTTGCCCATCTATGTCCATTGGTATGTATAAGTATGTATTGGTTTCTCCATGCCATCTTGCAGAGTTCAGGACAAAAAGGAATCAGTTACTGCAGGCTTGGGATATTCAGTGGTTTTCCTGCAATGCAGCCTCATTCTAGGGCTGTTTAGGAGGAACCCACAGCCTCTCCCTTTCTGCTTCTGAATTGTCTGGGAAAGCTTAAAGAGAATCCAGGCTCTTTGGTCAGAGCTTCTTCTTTCTCCAATAGAAAATTTCATTGATCAGATTTGTATCCTACGTTTCCATCAAAAGAAAGAGCACTTAAGAAATTAAAATAGAAAGCAATTAATTAAAAATATAGCGGATAAAGGTAAAATGAGCATAATGTAACAACTGCAGACACAAAGTTTAATATGATGGTGTAACCATTATAAATAAACAAAAACAATTCAGAAAGCTATAAAAAGTGTTTCATTAATCTATCATCTTTTAGCAGAGACCACCTAATCTTTTATTCCAATATAACCCATCTCGTACAAAAAGAAGGAAACCACATCATTTATTAAAGGGAATAAAAGGGATACTAATATTTCCCTGATGTTCCAATGTACACCCCCCTCCCATGGATTAACCAGGATACGTGTTGTCCTCAAAATCTCCAAATAACTGTCATGCAGAAATAAAGCTTATGAGAATTGTAGTCAAAGACACTAGGCAATTAGTTGGTTCAAAAATTTTGCTATTGACATTTACTGTTAAAATAAATGTTTTTGCAATACCAATTTAAGATTTTTCCTGCTTGAAGCAAATCCCAGATCATACCCATCAACCTATGCTAGATCCAGCACTTTCAATGGTCCAGTGACATCTTCAAGTTTCTACCTCGTAATCTTTCTCTATTAGAATTGGAACAGCCTAGAAATGATATATAATAATGGTTGTTCTTTAGACACATAACATGAGCTGATTCATCACTAGAAAATATGATAATGCTGGCTAGGTGGAAATGAGGAGGAGGAGGAGGAAGATCCCACAGTGCATAAAGTGGATACACAAAAATAGTGGAAATCACAGGAATGCAACCACAATAATTGCATGAAGTGGTGTAATAGAGAACAGATTAGAGAGTTTTTATCTGTGGAATCACTAGGAGTTGATTACAATTTGACAGACCATATCAACAATAGAAATGCCACAAAACAAACTCATAAATGTCTCTTTATGGCGAGGTTTGAAGACAGCCCAGAGACAGTCTGGACATATCCTTAGTCTTAAAACCATCAGTGAAATAACTATAATTATAGAAACAACAATAAATTGATGAATGCTTAGAAGTCAATTTCATCGGAGGGCCTTTTTCCAGAAGGGGTATATTATCGGGATAAAAAAATGTAGCTATCAGTTGTTGTTCCCTCACCCTGTCTCCCATTAGTATTCATGATAAGGACATCTGCCTGATAGATGGCCAGACTACCATCTCCACCAACCCCATACTGACTATTCCAAATTTTCTACAGTTAGCAACTCATAAAACCTCATTCTTATTTAGTTTGAGCATTATGATGTTTGTACAAATATGAGAATTGGAATGGGACAAAGTAGCAAGGCCTGTACATTTTGATATGAAGCAAAAACTCCATGTACCGATATTACTCCCCAATACCTTTAACTGAGAAATGCCAGAGATTGAAATAAAGATCTTTTGCATATGGCTATAGAATATGCAAATTATAAACCTTTGCCCTGATATTTTATTTGGCACGTGTTTGTCAGATAAGGAAAATTAACAGAACAACGGAGTTGTAAGGAACTTTGGAGGTCTTCTAATCTAACCCCCTGCTCAAGCAGAAGACTTATACTATTCCAGACAAGTGGCTGTCCAATCTCTTCTTAAAAGCCTCCAGTGATGGAGCACCCAAAAGTGCTGAAGGCAATCCGTTCCATTGATTAATTGTTTTCACTGTTAGGAATGGTGGAGTTTGGATAGGAGCCTATAAATGTGAAATAATATGTAATACCCTCTTATGACAGACTTGGATCTACTCTGCTTCTGATCCTGGAGGTAGTATATATAGCCTTTGAGAAGATTACTCAGATTTTGGAATTTGTTTCCAATATTATATAATGATAACCATCAGCTTAGATTGCACGAAGAGAGAATGAGACCAAGGGTGAAGAGAAAATTCATTTACACTAATGCACTATCTGTGGCTATTAGAGTTGATGGGTGTATAGGATCTTCTGAATCAGAGACTGGTTCCTTAAATAGTAGCTGCTCTAGACACATTCAGGACTGTACTTATGAGCTC